TCTAGGACATCCCTGCTGGTGCAGTGGTTAAGAATCTGCCTGCCAATGCAGGGGACATGGGTTCAAGCCCTGGTCCGGGAAGATCCCACATGCCATGGAGCAACTAAGCCTGTTCGCCACAACTACTGAGCCTGAGTGCCACAACTACTGAAGCCCACATGCCTAGATCCCGTGCTCTGCAACGAGAAGCCACCGCAATGAGAAGCCCACGCACTGCAACAGAGTAGCCCCCGCTCGCCGCAACTAGAGAAAGCCTGTGTGCAGCAAATAAAACCCAACACAGCCAAAAATAAATAAATAAATTTATTTTTAAAAAAAGAAACAAAATACCTTGCACCTCAAGCAATTAGAGAAAGAAGAACAAAAAACCCCCAAAGTTAGCAGAAGGAAAGAAATCATAAAAATCAGATCAGAAATAAATGAAAAAGAAATGAAGGAAACAATAGCAAAGATCAATAAAACTAAAAGCTGGTTCTTTGAGAAGATAAACAAAATAGATAAACCATCAGCCAGACTCATCAAGAAAAAAAGGGAGAAGACTCAAATCAATAGAATTAGAAATGAAAAAGGAGAAGTAACAACTGACACTGCAGAAATACAAAGGATCATGAGAGATTACTACAAGCAACTCTATGTCAATAAAATGGACAATCTGGAAGAAATGGACAAATTCTTAGAAATGCACAACCTACCAAGACTGAATCAGGAAGAAATAGAAAATATGAACAGACCAATCACAAGCACTGAAATTGAAACTGTAATTAAAAATCTTCCAACAAACAAAAGCCCAGGACCAGATGGTTTCACAGGCGAATTCTATCAAACATTTAGAGAAGAGCTAACACCTATCCTTCTCAAACTCTTCCAAAATATAGCAGAGGGAGGAACACTCCCAAACTCCTTCTACGAGGCCACCATCACCTTGATACCAAAACCAGACAAGGATGTCACAAAGAAAGAAAACTACAGGCCAATATCACTGATGAACATAGATGCAAAAATCCTCAACAAAATACTAGCAAACAGAATCCAACAGCACATTAAAAGGATCATACACCATGATCAAGCGGGGTTCATTCCAGGAATGCAAGGATTCTTCAATATATGCAAATCTATCAATGTGATAAACCATATTGACAAATTGAAGGAGAAGTACCATATGGTCATCTCAATAGATGCAGAGAAAGCTTTCGACAAAATTCAACACCCATTTATGATAAAAAACCTGCAGAAAGTAGGCATAGAGGGAACTTTCCTCAACATAATAAAGGCCATATATGACAAACCCACAGCCAACATCATCCTCAATGGTGAAAAACTGAAAGCATTTCCACTAAGATCAGGAACAAGACAAGGTTACCCACTCTCACCACTCTTATTCAACATAGATTTGGAAGTTTTAGCCACAGCAATCAGAGAAGAAAAGGAAATAAAAGGAATCCAGATTGGAAAAGAAGTAAAGCTGTCACTGTTTGCAGATGACATGATACTATACATAGAGAGTCCTAAAGATGCTACCAGAAAACAACGAGAGCTAATCAATGAATTTGGTAAAGTAGCAGGATACAAAGTTAATGCACAGAAATCTCTGGCATTCCTATATACTATGATGAAAAATCTGAAAGTGAAATCAAGAAAACACTCCCATTTACCACTGCAACAAAAAGAATAAAATATCTAGGAATAAACCTATCTAAGGAGACAAAAGACCTGTATGCAGAAAATTATAAGACACTGATGAAAGAAATTAAAGATGATACAAATAGATGGAGAGACATACCATGTTCTTGGATTGGAAGAATCAACATTGTGAAAATGACTCTACTACCCAAAGCAATCTATAGATTTAATGCAATCCCTATCAAACTACCACTGGCATTTTTCACAGAACTAGAACAAAAAATTTCACAATTTGTATGGAAACACAAAAGACACCGAATAGCCAAAGCAATCTTGAGAACGAAAAACGGAGCTGGAGGAATCAGGCTCCCTGACTTCAGACTATATGACAAAAGCTACAGTAATCAAGACAGTATGGTACTGGCACAAAAACAGAAAGATAGATCAATGTAATAGGATAGAAAGCCCAGAGATAAACCCACGCACATATGGACACCTTATCTTTGATAAAGGTGGCAGGAATGTACAGTGGAGAAAGGACAGCCTCTTCAATAAGTGGTGCTGGGAAAACTGGACAGGTACATGTAAAAGGATGAGATTAGATCACTCCCTAACACCATACACAAAAATAAGCTCAAAATGGATTAAAGACCTAAATGTAAGGCCAGAAACTATCAAACTCTTAGAGGAAAACATAGGCAGGACACTCTATGACATAAATCACAGCAAGGTCCTTTTTGACCCACCTCCTAGAGAAATGGAAATAAAAACAAAAATAAACCAATGGGACCTAATGAAAGTTCAAAGCTTTTGCACAGCAAAGGAAACCATAAACAAGACCAAAAGACAACCCTCAGAATGGGAGAAAATTATTTGCAAATGAAGCAATTGACAAAGGATTAATTTCCAAAATTTACAAGCAGCTCATGCAGCTCAACAACAAAAAAACACACAACCCAATCCAAAAATGGGCAGAAGACCTAGACATTTCTCCAAAGAAGATATACAGACCGCCAACAAACACATGAAAGAATGCTCAACATCATTAATCATTAGAGAAATGCAAATCAAAACTACAATGAGATATCACTCACACCAGTCAGAATGGCCATCATGAAAAAATCTAGAAACAATAAATGCTGGAGAGGGTGTGGAGAAAAGGGAACACTCTTGCACTGCTGGTGGGAATGTGAATTGGTACAGCCACTATGGAGAACGGTATGGAGGTTCCTTAAAAAACTACAAATAGAACTACCATATGACCCAGCAATCCAACTACTGGGCATATACCCTGAGAAAACCAAAATTCAAAAGGGTCATGTACCAAAATGTTCATTGCAGCTCTATTTACAATAGCCCGGAGATGGAAACAACCTAAGTGTCCATCATCAGATGAATGGATAAAGAAGATGTGGCACATATATACAATGGAATATTACTCAGCCATAAAAAGAAACGAAATTGAGTTATTTGTAATGAGGTGGATAGACCTAGAGTCTGTCATACAGAGTGAAGTAAGTCAGAAAGAGAAAGACAAATACCGTATGCTAACACATATATATGGAATTTAAGGAAAAAAATGTCATGAATAACCTAGGGGTAAAACAGGAATAAAGACACAGACCTACTAGAGAATGGACTTGAGGATATGGGGAGGGGGAAGGGTGAGCTGTGACAGGGCGAGAGAGAGGTATGGAAATATATACACTAACAAACGTAAGGTTGATAGCTAGTGGGAAGCAGCCACATGGCACAGGGATATCGGCTTGGTGCTTTGTGACCACCTGGAGGGGTGGGATAGGGAGGGTGGGAGGGAGGGAGACGCAAGAGGGAAGAGATATGGGAACATATGTATATGTATAACTGATTCACTTTGTTATAAAGCAGAAACTAACACACCATTGTAAAGCAATTATACCCCAATAAAGATGTTAAAAAAAAAAAGAAACCAATACAGATAAATCATGTCATTCACCTAATCAAAACCCTTTAGTAGGAGTATTCCCAATGCTCCTAGGATAAAGCCCAAAATAATGAAGGGGCCCTGCCATCCAGTCTCAGCTCCCAATACTCTCCCCCTTGCTTAATGTGCTCTAGCCACAGGAGACACCTTTCAGTACTTCAAGTCCCTTGCACGTGTTCTAGCTTCAGGTCTCTGCACATGTTTGTTTCCTCTATGTGGAACACTTCCTCCATTCATCCCTCCTCTATCTCCTTCTACCCCAGCTGATCCTTCAGTTCTCATCACTTCTTTAGGAGAGTCTTCCCTGACATTGCAGACAGAGTCAGGTCCTCCTGTTCTAAGTACTTATAGAACGCTTATTTTTCCTTCATAGCTCTTATTTCAATTTGCAGTTTTCTACTTATAGGTGGGATTATTAATGTCTGTTATCACTCCTACTAGACTGTAAGCTCCATGATAGTAGGACTCTTGTCTGTCTTGTTATAACCTGACATTTAGTAAGAGCTCAGTAAATATCTGTGAAATAAATGACTGCTCCCTGTTAATCAGGGTGGACCTTATCGGCACTAGCTCCATTTTCCTCTCCATTCCAACCCATGTCATCAGATAAGTACCTCAATGGCTATGGATGACTCATCCAACTCTCTAGCTTCATTGTCCCTTGACCTCCTCTACTTCTGCAACCTCTGACTACATGCCACTTCACGTGCCATTTCTAGCTATTAGTGCCCTAGACCACCCGATAAACATGGAGCTGCTCCGCTTCAGAATTTCTGAACTCCACTAACCCAATCTCTGGCTACAACCTCTTACCCCTATTACTTCTTGGTTCTCAGAATACCCACTCCTCATTTTCATCAAGATCTCCCATCCTTTGACTTCTCCCATTCTTCAGCTCATTACCACTTTATTGCTTAACTCCCTATCCCGTCTAGTGGCCATGGTACATCACTTCAAACACTCTTGCTAGCAGCCTCACTGCTCTAATCCATTTTAATCTGCCATTTACTGAGCTACTATGAGTTACTATGGACCACTCTATATGCATTACTTCTGGAACTTGTCACAACACCTATATGAGGTAGAGACCACCATTACCCCCTTTTACAGATAAGGAAAAGGATTCTTAAAGAGGTGAAGTAACTTGTGCGAGGTCACACAGAAAGTGATGGAGCAGGGTGCAGTTGGGATCTGAAAGAGATCTGTCTGACACCAAGGTCTGTGCTCCGAACCAGCAGGTTACTTTGTAGCTCAGAGGGAATGATAACTCTGACTGCAACACGGAAAATGAACGGGAGGGAAGCAGGCCAAGTGTGAAGGCTTGGCGACCAAGGCAGCAATCCAGGGGAGAGTTGATGGTGGGCTAAGCCTTATCTCTCAGAACATCTCGAAAGATCCAAACTAAAAGCCCACTTACTTCAGGCGTGTGACTTTACAGGATGGATCTGGTGGGCTTTGGCTGAGGATGGCACAACTAGGTGTGCCTAGAAGAGACCAAAAAGAAAACCAGCAGTTTAATACATTCTTTCAGGATACAATTTCTACTTTAACTTATCTACTTACTTATCTATGTTTATACTTAAGGTATGATGACATTCATTAAATGCTTCTGTTTGCTGGGAATTTATTATAGTCTTATTTACACTTCCAACCACGCTGTGAGCTACTCTCCCATTTTACAAATGAGGAAAGTGAGGCGCAGAAAGATGAGGGAAATTGCTTCACATCCCAGTTAGTTAATGATAAAGACGGAATCAGAACCCCAATCCGCTGCTTTCCTAGTCACTTACCCAGCCAAGGGCCAACCTTAGAGCCGCACTCCCCACACTACACCCGGGCCGTGGAGACGCTTGCGGGTGCGGGGATCCGAGGACGCGCTGCGCTCCGACCTGAGGACCTGAGCAAGAGCAGGGAACTGACCAGCACGTCTGAGGCCGGTGCCCAGATCTGGGCTGACCAGCCGGCCGGCTCACGGGACCCGGTTTCGAGGCCTGGCGCCCCAGCTGGATGGGGAAGGCCATGGGCCCCGGAGCGGCCGTACCCTGGGGAGCGACCCCGTTTCTTACACCCACTCTGAGGGCGCCACCTCCCAAAGGCACGGTGACACGGCCTGGAAGCCACCAAGCCCAGGACGGGCCCGCAGAGAAAGGAGGCAACAGCTCGGTCACCTGTTCCGTTCCCCCGTCGCAGAATCACAAGACCCAGTGGCGAATACCTAAGTCACCTATTTGAGTTTTCTGCCCGACTTCAGCCACAGTCTGGGGTCTACGGATGGCCGTCCTTGGGCCCAGGAACCACCATGTGCTTTTGTTTGGTTTTTTGTTTTTGTTTTTTCTTTTTGAGGAGATGACCGATACTTTTCCTTAGAATTTCAAACGGGTCACGTCCACCCTCCACCCGCCCTTCAAAAAATTAAAAAGTTAAGAATGCTGACGCGGAGCTGTCAGCCAGAGATGCTCTGATATCTTTACCTCAATCCCGCAAGCTCGCGGTGTCAGTCCCCACCCCCGGCGTCCCTCAGCATTCCTTTCCGTTCTCTCCTCCCCCACCCCCACGCACGCCTACACGCACGCACCCCACACGCACGGCCCCCCACACGCACGCACCTCCCAACAGACGCGCCGCACGCACGCGCTAAGGTTCTCCACACACACACCCATAAATTGCTGCAACCAGGCGCGTCCTCCCGTGCCTCTCCGCGCAGACGCGTGTTCCCCAAGTCCTGCGCCTCGACCCCCACTCCACACGCGCATCCTCTAGAGCCTCTCCCATCTCCCCTTTCCAGGGCGGGCTTTCCTCGGGGGCCGGCGGCCCGGCCCTCCCCGCCCCCCAGCTTCGCGGGCAGCGAGGTCCCTCCCCGGCGCGCTGAACTCACCCCGAACGAGCCTGCGGCAGGCCAGTCCAACTGGGCCGCCGCTTCCCTCCTCGCATCCCAGGAGACACCGGGCGGGGTGTGGCACCTCCCACGCTCGGCCACCGGGGCCTTCGGACTACTGGGAAGCCAGCCACTCAGCCGGAGGGAACTCCCTCGACTTCCTGTCCCTCCCAACGGAGTGGGCGCTGGGGGGCAGGGTGGTGCGGCGGGAGGCGTTTCTCGTTCTCGCCGAGAAAAGCGCTCACCTGGTTCCCAAAGCCAGTTTGCCCTTCCTCTCCTTCCTGCCAGAGGGAAGGGAGAGCCAAGGTCTTGGGGCGGAGAAGGGGAAATGACTCAGAGAGGAGGCGTCTCAGAGGGAGGGGCCGGCCTGGAAAGGGGGGGGGGCATTGGGGAGCGGGAGGGAAAGGGGAGGAAAAAAGAGGATGGGAAAACCGCGGTGGGAGAGGTTTCGAGGGTGTCTAGCGCAGTCCTGGGAATCCTGCCTGGTCAACCCCGAATCCAGGAGCCACTAGGCTGGATCTTTTCCTAGGTTTTGGGCCCTGACTTCTTTACCCCGTGCCAAAGGCAGTCAGAGCCAAGACCCTTGCTAGCAACTACCGGGCAGCACGGAATCTTCTGGGCTGGGCAAGGGCACAGGAATTAACTCTTCGTGTCCTTTGGAGTCAATACTAGTAGTCTTTACCTCATAGTGTTGCTGGGAGAATTAAATTAGTTACTACATCTCAAGTGATTAGAATAGTGTCAGGGACACTGTAAGCAATCAATCAGTGATAGCTCCTGTTATTACAAAGGTGTTCATTTGTTGGTGGTCTGTGTCACCTCTAGATTGTGAGTCTCATGAGGGCAGAGACTACGTATTTTCTTTATCACCGAACTACAGCACCTGACACAAAGCAGCTATCAATAAATTATTTGTTGAGTTAATGAATAAATGGGTGATTGAATGATAACTTGGACTAGTGGCTATGCCAAGACCTTCTCTGCCACGTAAGGGGTGCGTTTGTGGAAGTTTGAGGAAGAAGGGCTATGATTGGGAAAGGTGGTACATAGGACTCCTGTGGATTGCTATATCAAGTGACCTGCTCTGCCCTTGGAAAATGGAATGTCTTTGGCAGTTTCCTACATGGACGACTGTCAGACAGCTGACCTGAAATTTGAAACTGAGCTGTGGCTAGCTACATCAGTATTTGCATCTTGTACAGTTAGTAAGTAAAGAAGGAAGGGGGAGAGGGCTGAAGTGGAAAACTCAAAAATAATGGTGGCAAATGTTAAGTGGGGGAGATTGGTGGGGGGAGCTCTGAATGAATCGAAGTGTGTATGGAGGAGTATAGTGACCCCAAAAGGAAATCTGATAGCGGTCCTAAAGTGACAGTAATGTTATCCACCTTTCTGTTCTAGTCATAGGGTTCCTGATGATCTGCCCTCATGTCCCAACATTCTTGGGGTAGGTATGCAGATTAGGCTTCTATCACTACATTCACTAAACTTGCATTTATGGAAATTAATACTGTTAGAGCTAGAAGGGACCTTAGAGATTACTCATACATTTCAATTCAGAGTTGAAAAACTAAGAGCCAGAAATGGATAGCAAAGGGCTTGGGCTTTGGGATTCTCTGGCCTTGGTACTGAATCTTTCAGGGCCTGAATTTGTTGTGTGTCCCATTATTCCTTTAATTCCTGCCCCACCCTATCCCAAGCCCCAAAGAGACTGAATGAAAGGACATAAATAGAAGGTCAGCAGAAAGGAGGGAGAAAGGAAGTTCCTCACCAGACCCTGACTTTACTTCCTTTTTTCCCCCTCCAGGGAAGGTACCTGGGCCTTCAGCTAACTGCTATAGTACAACAGCTCCACCACGGTACCCTGGAAGCTGCGTTATCCACATAAACCCCACAGGCAAAGGCTTGAACCACAGCTAATCTGAGTCTTGGCAAAATGCCTGTGACCCTCCCAGAGAACAAGAAGATAGGAGGCTTGCAAGAAGTTGCTTCACGGCCATCTCCCACTCACCTCTGTATCTCTCCTCTCCCCTGGGAAACTGTCAAGAGACAGTTTTGCATCGCCTCCCACCTGCTGAGATCTGATGAGATAAGAGTCTTCCTGACTCATCCCACTCAGAAGAGAGCTACAGACTATAAAGTCATTTAGTTGCAGTCTAGAATTGGCTTCGGAACAACTGGATATCCCATAACTACCATTGCAGTCCTCTGGCCCCTTTTGTTTCAGTGTAATTCTTTTTTTTTTTTTTCCGGTACGCGGGCCTCTCACTGCTGCGGCTTCTTCCGTCGCGGAGCACCAGCTCTGGACGCGCAGGCCCAGCGTCCATGGCTCACGGGCCCTGCGGCCATGGCTCACGGGCCCAGCCGCTCCGCAGCATGCGGGATCCTCCCGGACCGGGGCACGAACCCGTGTCCCCTGCATCGGCAGGCAGAGTCTCAACCACCGCGCCACCAGGGAAGCCCCAGTGTAATTCTTTTTGGTGCTTGGGATACGAACCACTAGGAGCAGGAAACTTTGACTACTTTTCCTTTCACTAATAAAATAAAAAACTGTTTGACTCTGAACGTCATTCATTGTATCTTTACCTGCTATGCTGTGAATTTCACATTTCTGGTATATCACAGCACCCTCCCTTATCACTGAGGGAGTTGAGCTGAACAAAAAGATATGTACATCATAATGGCCTTTTCCTGCCACTGTACATCGGGAGAATCAGCTCAAATTCCATGTTTCTGGGACTTCCAATCTGGTGGGAGGAGTAGCAGATCCTCTTTGCCGTCTATGCACAAGTAGAGTGGGCATTTACATTCTGTTATTTGAAAGACTTCTCTTGGCCCAGAATATGTTCCCAACAGGCTTGCCAGAGCATTGTTGGCTGACCCTTTCCAAACCTGAAAATCTGAAGCTTGCCCCACCCCAGTCACCCCTAGGTTAGACAACAAAAGCATTGCCTCTGGAAGGTCCTTGTTAACATTTTCTTGTTTTCTGAGAAGGAAGGAAGAGGTAGAGTGAGGAGTTGATAGAGATGTGAATTTTTTTTTTTTTTGGCTGTGTTGGGTCTTCGTTGCTGCGCGTGGGCTTCTCATTGTGGTGGCTTCTCTTGTTGTGGAGCACGGGCTCTAGAGTGCAGGCTCGGTAGTTGTGGCACACGAGCTTAGTTGCTCCACGGCACATGGGATCTTCCCAGACCAGTGATCGAACCCGTGTCCCCTGCATTGGCAGGTGGATTCTTAACCACTGCACCACCATGGAAGCCCGAGATGTGAATTTTGCCCATGCCCTTCCATTTACACATTACTGATGGCTAATATATTAATTGTTCTAATTGTTCCCTTTGAAAGAGACTGGCCATAAAGAACGATAGCCTGTTAACCAAGAGGGAGTTGTGGGAATGCTGGACCAGAGATACATGCCTGAGAGGAATTATATGAGTGGTGGTGTGGAGTTCACCTAAGACAAACCTCACAATATATGAGGTGGCCCATTTGTCATTCTGCTTATCAGGTTCTTATTCTATTCAACCAGCACTTACCAAGTATCTCCTATGTACAAGGCTGGTAAGAGCTTCCACTCTCACCCCTGCGTCTCCAATAACGGCTTTGTTTTTCAGCTACCACTAGTAACTCTAATTCAGAGATTGAAAATTATTGGGGTAGAATTATTGAGTTGCATACCCCACCAGATTATAAAGTCAGGAATACTTTTTAATATGCCCCCGCAGATATGAGTAGAGTCCTTGGAACATAAATAAACGCCGTGTGAATGACCAGGCCAGACCTATCACAACTGTAACTTGCATGTTATGCCCGACAGTTATAGGAAGATCACCTTGGTCCTAACCCTGACCCCTAGAAATTCACAGTGAGGGAGAGTCATTCTCATTAGCTATCATGCTATATACATTTCCAGTATCCATGTAACAACCTATCTGGCCTCCATTACTCCTAATCTTTGTAACACACCACCTCGCCCCTACCTACAGGCTCAGCTTCACTGAGACTCTAGGACCAACGCTATTTCTAGGAAGGGGAATATAAAGAGCTCCATGTCTGCTCTGGCCTGGCACATTAGGATGGAGCCAGCCTTTCCAAACATCACATCCCCCAAAATATATAAACTCTTAGCTGTGGGTAATAGCCCCATATTCAGCTTCTGCATGGGCTGCTGTTCTCCAGATGGGCCACTAACCCCTGAAATTCCAAATTTTTGTCTTTTATATTTTAACCCTCTTGCCTTTGGGCTTCCTAGTCGCTTTGCTAGCTGCCACCCTTGACTGGCCTGCTTCGCTTCACATTGCATGCCCCCTTTAGTAACTCTGATTAAATTATGTCCAAGCCCAGCTCGGGGGTGGGGGGTGGGGTGGGGTGGGGGTGGATCTCCTAACCCTCCCAGGCTCCTCCTACAGGCCAGATGTTTAACAGCAAGTCAGCTTACATCTGGCCCTATCCTGACTTTAACCACTAGGTTCCAGCACTGGGATTTTCTTTGTTCTTCCTTAATTCCCACCTTCTGGCCCAGTCACTGAAACTGAATGTGCCGTGTTTCCTTGGGCCTTATACTTTCATTTCTTTAGTCTTCCTGACTGTATCTTCCTCCTGAAACCAAAGTCTTCATGATTGGATCTTGATTTCCAGATGCTCCGGATCCTCCCTGCCCAAATCTCTACCCACTACATAATTAATTTCCCCTAAGTCATTTAGACAATTCCAGTAACCCATGACCTTTTTCCTTTTAATCTTCCCCCAATTCAAACTCCAGTGAGAGACAATCAAGAACTCATGAATACATATATATTTATTTAATTCATAATATAGCATTTTGAATGGGCTGGGATATTTTTTTTAGAGGGATGAGGCTGTGTAATCCACAGATGCTCAGATTTCTGTCACTAGGAGAGACACTACTGGTCCAGAGCTCCCAGTACAAACAAGCCTGGGATAAAATGTTTGATAAAAAAGTCCAATAATAGTCTAATAAATATTCTAGCCGAGAACAACAACATAGCATATGTCTGAAGCTGGCAGACCAGACTGTAAAAGGCAGTTTCACCTGACCTAATGGCCGTCAACCTGGCCAACCTGTAATACACAAAGTACAGCCCAATGGCTCTGAGGCTGCAGTTGGCTTCAGGAATTAAAATAAATGTGGGAGTAGTTCTCATCTGTCAGCCTCACATTCTCCATTCTGTAGAAGAAAGGGTATCAAATATTTGTACTTATCAAAAAGTCCATCTGTGGATTGCTCCAACCAGGTAGTCATATATAAATATGTAAACCATGGAAGCTTAGAAAATTCACCTAGCGTATTTTAGCCGAAAAG